AATTATATTTGAAAGAGTTTTTGGCAAAGAGACTGAGAGTGGCGCTCACGTGATGATTGCATACACGACAAAGGTGCGCAGATCTGGAAATCTTAATTCTTGTTACTAAGGAGCTTATAATTATGAAAACATGAGATAGGGAGTTATCTTACAAACAAGAGCACATTCAATATCTTCATGAATAAGGCTGCCATAGTTTGTTAAGATATCAAGGCTAAAAAAGATGTTTTTTGATTTTGTAGAGCTGTATTGTATGTATATGTCCAATTCTCAAGCTATCCGCTAGAAAGGGTTGAAATCCTTGGGTCACAAAAAAACTTCTAGTATTACTGGCTTTAATATACACTCTACGCTCTTACGACAAGTATAACCTAACCCAAAGTTTCTTAACCCGGATGACATATTTTAAAAACTTCAATTTATAAAAGCTTATAAACTATAAAGTATTTTTTAACATTAATTAGCGTGATACGCAATCTTCTGAAACTTTTTACAATAATAAAATATCCTATTTATTATTCTCTCAGAAATGAAATATATGGCCAACCAAAAAGCCAAACTTTGTTGGCACATTTATGGCTTTCATATAAACATCGTTTAATAGGCTTTACAAATACACACAAAAATATAATTATTTATTAAGTAGCGCGTGAAGCAAAGGTTACACACTCACGGAGGATATGCGTATACACCCCTAAATGCATGCAATATGTGTAACAATGGGGTGACTTGCCACGTATACATAACCTAATTGCATGTAATGGTGCGTAAGATATAAATATCTTAAGAAAATATTAAAGGAGTCAAACCGTTATTGATTCTTTCACTTTTGGTCATGAAATTCCGGGTAAAGGGATTGTGGCAAGAGAGTGATATTTTTCAGTTTTTTTCCACCCATCATTTGCCCTTCATGTTCATGATTACGCTTTATTATGCTTGCGTACACGGCTTTGTGAGCGAACACATACAGCTACACTAGTACCTTGCGACTCTTCGGCCTACTTTTAAGTATCTTAGGCCACAAGCCGCACATTATTAGTGTCTTTTGACCCAGGAATCGCTCATGGCAACATAATCCAACTAAATAAGAATGCGAGGTTCCACTCAGCCAACGCTGAGCATCTTGAGTATGCTACCCGCAGGTCAATGATTTTGTATGCTGCAAAGAGGATTCAGTATTTCGTATGTGAAAGCTTGAGCGCCTACTAATCTGCAACATGTGCAAGAGTTCTTATGAAAAAATGTATGTATGTATATATACATATACATATGTCTCTGAAATTCGTATTAGTCCAAGATTTGGTGAAGGTTTTCCTCCAGATATTCACCTCCTTCAAATATTTGATTTTTTTATATTGACAACATTTTGGTCTCTTTACTGCTCTTTCCACCTCTTCCTAGGCATAAATTGAGTCATAATTGTTTAATCTACTGCCAGTTTTGTTTGCCGCCTTGACGATGCTTTGACTGTTTATCCGTTGGGCTTTGCCAACCTTTTTCGTGAAGATACGAATTTTTTCATTACAATTCTAAAGCTCGAGGCGCTGGCTAAGCAAATACAAACCAAATCTGTTTTTTTGTTATTCCTTTATGGCCATCTTCCGCACCATCGCACTTATTCTAAAGTTTGTTATTGTAGCGGTAACTTAGCAAAATGATTTTCTTGTTAGACATATCTGTATATGCATATGTAATGTTTTTTGTTTAATCCCTCATTTATTGCCTACTAACCAAAAACATTTAAGTTGCTCGAATCCTCTCGACCATACGAGTCGAATATATTTTGCCCAGAAGAAATCCAAATTTATTTCTTTTTAGCATTTTCCAAACAATCGCCAGATGTACACTTTTCTCACAAACACATTTGATTATATTTTGTAAAGAATCACAAAAACGTGAAATTTTTTTCTTCTTTTTTCGATAACATTATCTGCTAGGCAAATAAATGAAGACAGCAAAAGAAACAACTACACAAAATCTCACAATAGATGATAAGCATGGCTCAACCAGAGCTGTCTATGTAGGTAGGTTATGTATATACATACGCTATAGTTATTATGTAGGAATGCAAATATTGACTCTTCATAGCAGCAACAACAACACTAACAACCATTCAGACAAGCAAGCCGGTCTTGTTGACGACTTCATAATGTTTATTATTTTAGTTTCAGCCTCCCTGGCTCAATCGTAGACAAAGCAATCAATATCGCAAACAAACAAACCCCGGAATATTTTAGTTGGGATTAAATTTTGGTCAAGCGCTCATATGATTTTCTTGTTTCTTCTTTACTAATATTAAAGCTTTCGAAGAGCTCTTCGTCTCCATATGAATATTTAAACACCTTGGACCGCAAATACCCTTCACCAAAAAAAAGTTTGTATGACAGCTATATTGGTTCAAAGTATTGAAATAATGACAATTAATATAATTAAATAATTAAAATCAGGTTCCTTCGAATCTTTGCTGTAAAAGTTTGTATGCAAAACTAACCGTTGGATTCAAAAGTTAAAACTGAGCTCATTGCTGCTTTTTTAGTCTAAAAACGCTAAAGGCTTTGGAAAATACAAAGATTTGATGAACTGATTTGACGTTTTTTGACAATGCTTAATTTAAATAAAAATATAAAATGAAAAATATTCGCTTCACCAAACTTTGTTTGCAAGCGGCAAAGCACCCATGCGAAGGCCCTTTAAATTTGGTAATAAGAAGTCAATTGCGCCTGAAAACATTCGACGAACGAATGCAAAGCATGTTATATAATAATGTGCATAACTTTTGAATAATGTAAATAAGGACAAGTCAGTGGAGTTACAAAAATATGAGAACATTTTGCGAAACAAATGTACACTCCTGCATAACCATTAAATATGATTTCTATATTCCGCACACACACGTGCAGAGTTATGCTATTTTGTCGTGTATTGACAAACGTCCTTCGAGTATGAGTATTCTCTTATTTATGTGAAAATATTTGATTATGTGCGATTGATCATCAATTCTTAGCTGCTCCTTTGATTGTTGATTTATTTATTTGCGCATAACAATATGCCATCTGCATGTGAACAAATGTGAGTGCGCATGTATATGTAGATATGTGTTCTAATACATGCTTGAATATACAATAACAGAATTGTCAGTCAATCGACAACTCTTCAACAAAATACGCAGAAATTCGTAGCATACTTCTATGTGCAAATCATAGATATACATACATATAGCATGTAAAAAGAAAATCGATGTGGCAGCGGTAGGCAACTACTGCCTACAAGTACATACGCAGCAGCTCAGAAATTTACAACAACTCTTAGTTTGATTGAATTGAAAGTTTCAGCTTCAGCGATTGCTTCGATTGAGTACATTCTCATCTTTGCATATCACCTCTGCCACATAACGGTAGTAGTGCGCAAGTAGCAGATTATGTTGCATAGCAAAATATTCAAATATTAAATAATTTTCGAAACTTTTTTGTATAGATCAATCATTCTTTCCAATTAAGTACAAAACCAAACTTTTCTGTCAATGACGAGTTTTTAACCTTGTTTTCTTGTTCTACTTTGTGTGGTTGTGAGTTTAAACTTCCCAGCCGAGAAAAATAATTTCCACAGATTTGAAACTTTTAATCCTCTTTCTCAGCTCAAGTATATTTCATTTTTATGAAATTATAGTAAAATAATAAAATGAACAACCGATGGTTATCTACTAAAGACAATGAGATAACTGGTCCCAGTAATCATGCAAAACAAAAAAAAAACATTCAGTATAGTTTCGTATGTTTGCTCTTTAGGAAACCGGAAACAGTAATTGATCGGAAATTCACTAATATATTTCATAACTTTTCAATTTTGACTAATGGCCCTTGTGTTGAGACATCTCCTAGGATATATACCATTTTTTTTTATCAATCTTCAATGTAATTGATATTACTAATCTGAAGGAAAATAAATGTGAAGCAACCAAAAAATATTGGGCGACTGGCCTTGTAGTGCTGTATTGTCTGAAATCGCTAAAATAAAAACAAGAAATTAAGCTCCATCCATTTACTTTTTAATTTAAAAGTTCATTATGAAAGCAGTTTATATAGGTTTTGAGATTATTATTGTGTTGTAGTGCACTATGAACTCCTTCCGTCAGGCCAAACTGTGAACAAATAATAGTATTCTTGCGTTACGAGTCGTTTGTCTCATGCTATTTGTTTAAAATGGCTGGAATTATGAGCACAGATCTTGGCTTCTTCATTACAATAATACAGCATATCATACATTGGTTCTTCGCGACTTTTGTAGAAAAGTCTCGACTGCTAACACCGCATTCTCCTGATTTGGCTCCATGCGACTTCTGGCTGTTCAACAAATTCCAAAGACCAATGTGCGGTGACGGCATTGAGGAGATAAAAACCGATTAGAAGAAGGCCGTAAAAAGAATATTCCAACTGATTCGAGAACCGAAAAAAAACGTTGACAAAATTGTATTTTAACCAACGGGGATTACTTTAAAAGAGATGAAACTAATTTTGAAGAATAAATAATGTATTCGTATTTTATAAACAATTGAATTGGGTCTAAATGTATGATGTTTTTTCAAAAATGTCTTCATCTTTGTTTTACTTTTCTAGAGTCACAAAGCACCTGTATCTCAACTCAATATATGTAGGTCAATACAGTTTGTCTATGATGCCAAATCTTATTATCTTAATTCAAAATTTAAATTTTTTCTAAAAGTATTATATTGGAAAATTTTTTCATTTCTTACTAAATGTTTCTTAACAATTTTTGGAATTCAACAATAGTTGACTTGTGAAGAAAAAATCTCTGAACGTACATATGTACATAAAAATAAAATTCTGTTTGTACTTAGTCGTATATTGAGTCGATTCAAAGAAGCTAACACCAGAAAATCCGAATTGACATAAAATTCTTGGCTTTCCTGGACATTTTTTCTATTATTATATATGGTAGAGTGCTGAGCTTTAAGTCACATTTTTTTTATATTTTCTTTCCAGGCTTAATTCGAAACCAGCAGTTATGGAAATGTAATTGCTACTAAAAATGTCATCATCATCATTTTTGAAGACTCATTGCAAGCAAATACAAATATGAAGTGAGAATTAAAAACAATAAAGAAATAATGATAAAAGTGAAGGAATATCTTAAAAAAATTGAAAATCGTAAAATTTGTACTCGGTGCGTTAGATTTTCAGTATCATATAAGAAGTAATAATATAATTGAATGAATAATCAATTATTCCATGCATAAACACAAAAACATAAAAACATATTTAAATAGAAAACACTCTCCATCGTATTGACTAATTGAATACAAAAAAATCGAAAATTCACTTCATTGATCACAATCGGATCGGTTTGAAACAAGAACAACATGAAAACACAAATCAATCGACCGGCAGACACATACACGCAAAATAAAACAAAACACTAAAAAATATACATGGGATCAGACGCCGGCGGCGGAGCAGCGGAGACGACCCTAAAGGAGTAAAAGGAGCACCAGATCCTACGATAACGGAGACGACGACGATAAAGTCAGTGACGAAGCCGAAGGCAAATGTGTAAATACACCAACAAATCTTTATTTATAACGAGCAATGTCAATGCGAGTGCTCAATACAAAAACCAAAATTAAAAGAAAACGAGTTTAATGTGACCAAGAGCACAAACAACCTGAAAAATAAAAAACTAAAGTTATTAAAAACAAATTCATAGCTTCTCGAATATCGAAAACGGAGCAGCATCCTCGGTTGCAAATTGAAGCATTATCAAAGATATCAGAATTCAACATTATCAAAATATTTTAATATTCAACCAATCTAGTCGTTTAAAACAACAAAATTTACCTACATAATTTAACAAAGAGTTGACGCAACATTTGTCTGCAACATGTTGCTAGCCAAACGAAGAGCACCATCTAGGATGGTGGTTCACAACAGAGTTATCGCCATGCTGTTAGCCATATTGCTGAGTTTGGTGTGCAGCACACCCGCGGAAGCAGCGATAGGTAAGTCAAAAACTTTCATATTTATTCAGTATTGTATTGTACTTACTGAGTTAAAGATTTTAAAATTGGTAACCATTTTCATAATTTAAAAAGAAATGAGATATCATAAGATACTGTTATGATAGTTGGATTTCAAGCTAACAAATGAGTTAATTATTATATATTTTATGAAACATCTTTAATTATGTTGCTCCTATGGTAATTTACGTAAAGTGTAAAAGCTTAGAATTTAATAATTTTTACGATAACTTATATGGGAAACCGGTATATTCGTAATTGAACCCGGTTATATCCAATCAAGAACTGTTATTTTCACAGTTTTGATTAAGCAATATTTGGCAAGTTGTAATTTTTTTGGGCGGTTTCGAATTTCGTTCTGTTATGACGTTCATTTGGCAACAGAATTTTGTGACGCCATGACCGTATAAATGTTACCAATTATAATGTCAGTTGATATTTCATTTCGTTTATGATGTAACTTTCCGCAGAAGAAGTTGTGAAAATCGGGTGATTTCAATTCGGACGATTTCATTTAATTTAGAATTTAAGTTCAAAAAATCAGATTTCTTTTCTTGAGGTAGTTTCTTATTTCTTGAGATTTGTTTCAAGCGCATATAAAGATAAACAACCATACTTAGTTTTATAAACTTGGCAGCAAGTCTTAGGTTTTTCACAGTAGATATATATATTGCTCTGGGTGGAAGCACAGTGTCAAACAAGTTATCAGAAGTGGATTCCAGAAAATCAAAACTTCCTTTGTACAAAAATTAGGAATCCCCGTAGTGCTGGTAAAACCAATTCTACATTTGTGATTTTAATATGACAATACGAGCGGTGGATGCAAATCGTCCCGATTATACATAGAAGACAACATAAGGTCTCAGAAACTCGTGGTATTTTCCTATTCGCCTTTTTGCAAAATCTGCATACTTGAATTTTTGAGTTTTCCTCTTAAAGTTTCATTTAAATCGCTTACATATAAACACAAGTCCAGAAATTTGTTTATTATACCCTGAACAGGGTATATTAAGTTTGTCACGAAGTTTGTAACACCGTAACACGAGCTGAGTCGATTTAGCCATGTCCGTCTCTCTGTCCGGATCGGATTACTATAGCATATAGCTATTATTAAAATGCACCTGTTAAGGGTATATTGGGTTCTGTGAGGCCGAAGTTAACGTTTTTTCTTGTTTTTGTTTTATTTTAATAAATACTCATATTAAGATAAATATTACGTAAATTATTGCTGAATAAGAAATCTATTTTCCTATTTTAATAAATCTAAATAGAATATAAAAATTAATTTGTTTAAGAAATGTTTTCTTCTTTGGCACTTCTTTAGAATAATATAGTATTTATATGTATTATATGGCACTACTGAGCTCATTTATAGAATTAACTATTCCCCAACTAACTAAAGAATATCTAGAGTGGGGGTTGTTAAACCAGTTGTCGAAATGTACTCGTATGCATATACTTTTGAACTCAAACTCGTAAGATATTCCGTTTGAGTGATCTACAAAGTACTCTGATAAACCCAAATAAGTATGAAGAGCACATGACGGGTCTACCTAACTTTACGTTTTCGCCAATAAACAATAATATTTTCCTCTGCCGTTTAGAAAGCTCAACGTCTCGAGTGTACACACAACTAAATATGTGTTTATTCATTACTGTTCTCTGATCTGTATATGCAAGTAGATACGTCTAGTTAAAAAAAAAAAAACACAAGTTAATGTAAAACTGTTTTGCAAAGAAGACAAAAAATTAAATGCTTTATTTCATAACTGCTAACTATTATTAGCTAACACAGTTTCTGCTAGAAAGTCGTTTCTTAACCGAAAAAACCAACAGAAGCTACCAGAAGAGAGCACAAGTTGAGCGCGTAAAAAGCCAATGAAATTTCTACTAACAGAAGACAACTGTTTAGCACATGTATATAAAAACGATATTTGACGCATTGTTTTGGGTTTGTTGATGTAAAGGGATTGTGAAATCCAAGATTTTGATATTTTCTTGCTCTTCTATGCCGATTTTTCGTGTCTTTACTTTTTCGTTATTTCGTTCGTTGGGAGAGTAACTGTCACTCTTCTGCTTCCAGATAGCTAGCAGCTACTAGCAGTTAAGAGATAAAGCTACTACTCTGCAACTGTTCAGATAGAACTTGTGTATTATAATTTGGATTAGGTAAGCATGTATGTATGTGCACTTTTCACGCATGTTATCATTTACGTTTGAATTCATGAAAGAATTCGGTCAGTTAATGAGCTCAGCAGCAAGAAAATTCAAATTGCAGAAAACATGCAACACGGTCACTGTCAACGGCTGCGTGCTCCGCCCTGCTCGTATTAGATCATAGGCAACTTTTGTAACACATATGTACAAGTATCCAATTGTATATATTTTCAAAATTATTAGGTCATAAAATTTCGTAGAATTCTACATGACTGGCGAGCTAGCGACTACATACTTTGCCATATAAGTTTAAATGCATACACGCAGCTAAAAATAAATATTAAACAATTTGTAATTAGAAAAGGTCTAAAAGAAAGACCAAGTGCAGAGACATATTGAGGCTGCAAACGCAAATATGCAACTCAAGAGATTTTTTTTTTTTTTTTTTTTTCAATATTTCAAAAACAGTGTTTAATTTTTAAGCAAACATATAGTATTCACTCTCAGATAAATTTGTATTTACTTTCATGTACTTCTGTCAATTGGAACACATGTATGTATCTGGCATTCCTTAGCAAGGGGGAGCGGCGGGTGGTGAGCGCTTGTTTGGCAAAGCGGCCAATTCGCGACTATTAATGTTTCTATTTCAAGCGAAATGCCAACAGACACAAACAGGGTAAATAAAGAATAACAATTATAAACACACACTTCTCTATGGCTACCCGGCAAAAATTTGCAAGTTCAGGATTAGTTGGCAATTAGTCGCAAGAGAACATGCGATCATTTTGATATATTTCTTTGGAACAAACTGTGCTTATTTTTCGAACATATCCCACAAAGAGAATAATTATAAGATTTTGCGTTCGAGAGGAGAGGTACAAGTAGGCTCTTTTGCTTCTAGTTTTAGTATTGTTCAACTCCCATATAAGATATTCGCTTTGACCTAATTAATATCTGAATGTTTCCTAAATGTACGAGTATGAGTTGAGGAATTCAACGTCGCCAATTTTTATAGAGAACATTGCAGGTATACTCTCGTTGAGATCACTCACACAATATTTGGCAGGGTTGGATTGGTAGGCGTGTTTTTGCACATTTGTTCACTCGCAACGTTGCGTAGTTAGCTACCCGCAATCAGATGATGCATTTCATTAGCGCGATGTTTTAAGAAAATTAGCAAAAAATAAACATGAAATGAGTATTGCTGGTGAAGAAAGGAAAAATTGACAAATTACAAACGAGTGCCTGAATATTGTGGTTTGAGTGTTTATTATAAATTGATTTGAGAATTTCGTACCTCTGAGTTGGCTAATCTATAATGACAGAAATGTGCAAGTATTTAGGAAAACAAAACGATAAATTGTAATTATAGCTTCTAAGTGAAGATATAAAATATATATAGCTCTTTCAAGCTTTTGAAATCGGTGTCGAAAGCTCAATATCACACTTTTATATCTTTACCACCTTCAAGTATTATATTGGTTACTGATTAAAATACTAGCATACTTTAAATTTTTGAACCGAACTTTAAAATTTTATTTCCTAAAAATACAAAACCTCGTCACGCAACGAACTCAAATTAAGCTTATAGGACTGTCTGCAAACAAAGTTTAAAGTATTTTCAGTCTCCACCCATCTTTCTAATGCGAAATTTTGTTGCCTTCGAGTCTTTAGAACGCACAAGTTTTCATTATTTCCATGTAAATATTAGCTTGCAAAATAACGAGTACCACATACATACGCCCCCCAAAATAGCGGTAATTACAGTGTAAAAGAACGAAAAAACGAAATCTTCTTTTCCATAATAACTAGTCAAGAAAAAAAGCCGGTATTAGTGCCACATAAAAATAAAGCAAGAAAATTGTTAAAGGAAGTAGCTCAAAAAGTGTCCTTCAAGCTCGTAATTTCTGGAATTTATTTTTTGTAGTGACGATCTTTTGTTGTTGCAGTAAAGACTTTTTTCTAGTTCAGGCTTTATTTCATCCAACAGAGCTTTTTAGCTTGTCGCCTAACCGGCTGTCGTGCAGTTTTTCTACACTTGTAGCAGCAAGTGTTCACTGCTTTTTTGCTTTTCTCGTTCATTAGCATTTTTACATGCCACCCTTTATGCAACTTCCACACACCCTACCTTAGCGCATGCACTTTTTTGCTGCCCAATACTGTACGGCAACAACAGTTGCTGCTATATGCGTGTTAGCAATACTTTTTAATATCTTTTTTAAATTTTTTTGTGAAATTGCTGTTGTCTTAATTTGGCTTGTCTAACAACAGCCATAGTTGCCAGCGCCGCTCTGACGACAGCACGAAGGTGTAGAAAAAATCGCTGCCACACTTTTCCAGCCTGTTCTCTTAGTATATACTGTGAACATGTACCTCGTCACTTACGACTTTCGTATTTTTCCGTCCTGTTTGAACTGAACTTTGTCAGCATTTGTCGTAGTTTTTTTTCTACAAACATTTTCTTCGTGAAACACACATATACTTAAATACCTAACAAAAATGGGCTTATGTGCCTGTTTATATAGTGTGGTCTTAATGTCGTTGTTCGCGCGCACGTTTTTCTTTGTTGTCGGTTTGTTTTGTGGTCAGTTTATTTTTCAGCGTTTGCACTCTGTGTCTGCCATTGTCAACTTCAGAAGCAGCCACACAGCGACAGCAACAATAAAGCACGCGACAACTAGCCCAGTGCATTACAATGGTGTGAACAATTTTTGGTGCAACAACAAAAGTGCATAAATAAAATATGTTTTAAGACAGCGGGCCATCCACTGCAGCAAATAAAAAAGTATTACTCATACGCCATGGCTGACCACATCTGTTCATAT